AACAGAATTCTTTTCAAATGAGTTAACAACTCATTTGTAAAGGATTCGGTTTAAAAAAAAACGGTTTAATATATTGGCAAACCTGTTAATTAGCTCTAGATATTTACATATACATATGACTAGAACCATAGACTAGCTTGAAAATAGGTTGCCGATTCCAGTGATGGCTCTCGAAGTCGTTTTGATCCAGGGCTCAAACTGGAGACCACGGTGCGGTAGCGACGCCCTTGTATTGTCATCCGGAAAACCCTGAAGAATTCATCACTTCCGTTTCACTCATGGGAAAATAAGGCCAGAACAAACGTTTTGAGTAATATTACGAAGTCATAATATCAGAGGGGATACTGTGGAGCGTTTGCGGTACGTATACTTATGTAATAGTCATTATCAAACACTCAGTTGGATTAGCAACGAAGCCGCAGGGGGTAGGGAAATTGTTTAGCAGTCTATATTGAAGTCCGTACAGCAAGACAACGACAGGAGTCATCATAAAAAGAGGTTGGTTCATCTGCCACTTCACAGATGGTTTTATATTGATTGCCATTGTTTTTCAGAATCAACGAAAACCACTTACGACGCTACAAAACTCAGGTTAGTTCTGTGAGTTTCTATTTTCGGTTATTTCAAAATGTAGTGTTGGCTAGCAAGCACTTCCTAGAACTTGGCCTTCTTCAGTTTCCTAGAAGAACAAGGACCCTCGTCTCTACTAAGGTTCGAATAGGTGAGTTTTCACAATTCAACTGTCGGGTTTCGTCCAGACCGAGCATGATTTCTTTTTTTCCGGGCGATAGAATCTTTCATGCAATTTTCGGCCGATAAATGTTCCGTAAATCCGTTTCTTCCTCATTGAAATTTAGTGCTCCTCGAGGCAGGTAAAATGCAATGCCCAAACCAAGCGCAATTCTACTATCCAAACGGACTTCACTGACAATAATGTGATTTTTATTTAACCTTCTCCGTTCTTGATCGAATCTTTTTTTNTTCAGAGTCCTCCCCACTCGGTTTTCTTCACCTGTCATCCAGTGTTGACCATAAGATCGGGGTTAAATCTGCCTGCTGGTACTTTATGCAAACACTCATCGGTGTACGTACACGATGTGTACGAAGGTGTTAATCATTAATAGACCGATGTGCTCTCCGATGGTTTGACTAGGGTGACCGTCTAATCCACTTCAAACATCGCCACCATCGGTTAGACAAGGTGTGACCGGGGAATCAGCTGGCGATTGATTATGAATCTTTCGAGGGAGGGTGAGGAAGGGGGCGATGTACCGTCTGGGAAGGGAGTGATTCCGTGAAGCTGAAACGGAGTTGACTACTACAATCCACTGAAGGAAGTTATCTCTGTGTAGGCGGTCCTTGGTTATATTCTGAGAAACGAAAGCGGTATTCCCATCAAGATGGGCAGAAAATTGGAAGCACCGGGAGTTCATCGAGAAAAGATGCTTAGCAGTGTCCTTCCAGTCGTTCCTACATCTCAAAACACTGGTCGACTACGCGGAGTAATCATTAGAGGGTAGAAGTTCCCGCAACTCTCGACCGCTCGTAGTGTTTAGCGAGGATTATTGACTGAAGCCGGTCTTCAGCTGGTAAACGACAAAGCGGATGTACGGTATTTGGATGCGTTCAGTAATTTGATATGGCAGGAGGCGCTTTTGCAAGTACGTTCCGTCGTCAAGTCGTCTATTGGCACACAAACCCACATCAGACATGCCGGTGTCGAATTTCATCTACATCTTGTCCGTAGTCGTCTCCAGGTGGTCAACGACCGCACCTCAGCCACCATGAACCGGATCGTTTTGGCTGTACTGCAGGGGTAAGCATGCTTTGAGCTGGTTTGAATGTGAGGGAAAGATGATCGTAACCCTCTCCGACAAAATAAAAGGAGGACAACAACTGACGAGGAAGAGGAATGGCGAAAATGTGTAGAGACACTCGCAGGAAGAGCCTTACTGCTTTTCTAATGACTGACTAATGCCAGAGACGGAAGAACTATCGCGTCGGAGCGGACTGGAGGGAAAAGGGGCTCGCATTTCTTCCCAGTTTCTACGAGTCTGAAGTCAGAATTTGTTCAGAAACGGATTTGTGAAGAGATCCTGGTTAATATTATATTGTAAAATGAATCGCTAAGTTAAACATCTTGGTGACGCAGGTTCTTAAGAAAAACGTTTTCAGTTCCAATGATTACATTCTATAACCAACAATGCCATTGAGGGCTAGATAGAGCTCTCAATCTCCCTTTCTCTAACTACACTATGCTACAGTTCGCTGTAAGTCGAGGAGGGCGTCTGTCCACTGGAGGATGTCTTATTAGTCAGATAGTAATTTTGAAGCTCTAACGGGCCCAGAAAATGACCCTGGTGTGACTATGTGGATGAAACTTTCGATACAATCCAAATTGATGCCCGAGATCCGTGATAAAGTGAAAGACGGCGATTAAGCTTTCAAGAAGCTGACAGCAAGAGTCTTGAAGGTCAACTATGAAGCGCAGAGCTATTGTTTCAAATTATAAAAGGAGAATGATGAAGTGATCGACGTCTCTTTACTTAAGATTGCGCCTTGTGCCCGCCATGGAATCAAAATCATAACGGAACATGGAACATGGAATAAAAACAGGAACAAACGAAAAGTTCAAGAGCGGTTTTGATCCGAATTTGGAGCTCAGACTGTGACTTTGGGACTGGTTCTCTGTACAGTTGGCCTTTCGTGAAGCTCGCTTGGAAAATTTCGTGCACAATGAAGTGTTGGCCGTACAGTAAGATTCGGTAGAGCAAGCAATCATTTATTGGATGACGAAAAAAGATGCGCCGTCTCTATGAGGCTGTCATTGATTCAGCGATTATTCATTTTGCCAGTAATCAATCTGTTTTTTTTTCTCCAGCTCACGAGCATTATTTTCGTTTTGCAATGAAATTATTACGATTATCAGGCTTCCAATGGCTCCATTTGTTTACTAATTAGTCAACAAACCAGTCCAATTGAAATTTTCTTGACAAAAGCCGTATTTGAAGTGGTTCAGTTGTACTTACTTCTTTTTAAAACTGTTCGACTTTCTTAACTTATCAGGCTGAAGTGCTTAGCGGGAAGCTTCGTGAATGAGATAGGTTCTTGAGAAGGATTAACTCACCTTCCCCGTATTCCTATCTTTTTACGACCTCTTATATAACAGTAACTGCTAGTTAGTATCAGTAACTCTTGTTTGATTGCTAAGTAATTCTTTTGGAAAATTTAATGAACTGATGCAGGATTATCCGTCGCACAGGGTGCATTGCTTGACATAGTTCACCAGAATTATTACTCCATTTGTATATGTTACATATTGGTTTTAGGTAAGTATTTATATTATAACAGTAATTCGTCCGATTTCTATGTCAACGTTTTGTATACAGGCCACAGTCCACTATGAGAATCTCTATGTGATCAAAGAGATTGAAGATGGTCGGGTTCGTTTCGATGAAGGCAAAATGCTCGTACGCTCGCTGAGGTGAGCTGAAGTCTTTGATTGATACTGACTACCGAATCCCTAATACTTCCCATGAGTAAGATAGTAGTAATCAGACCGAAAGTAATCTGAAAAGGGGAAGTTCATTAAAATAGGTTTAGTTGCATTTGTCGGTCTACAGTTGATGGGATACTATCAGGTAAAGCCTCAAAGGGTTTCAGCAAACCGACTTTCAGTTCATCTACCTACTTGCATGAAATTACAGTTTTATTCGTTCTCTCTGACAACCTGTCACTTCCATGGCAAGGTGGATGTGGACCAGCACTAGGTTCTCCCACCCGATCATTTGCATTGGTCGTAGCTGTTCCTTTCTCGATAAGAAAGGGCCGATTACGAATTTAATGAGGAATGAGTAATGCAATGATGGAAATTCACTCGAGATGATTAAATCTCTACCCGATACACCTTTTTGTTCTTTCTTTGTAGAAGCATCTTGAAGTTGCTGTCTATCGCTGGGGTACAGTAGCGGCTGATTTCGCGTTCGAATCTCTCATGAATCGAATACCTATCAAGTCAAATATTCAGAAACATGGATTCATTCTCAGTTTTCTCTATTTTGTTTTTCTTTGCATATGTGTACTTGGATCGATAATCGCGATTCCAGGTACTGGCTTGGTGGGACGTCTTGGCTGCACCAATATGCCTATTGTGGTTCCTCTCGCTCTGCTACATTTTCTGTATCGTCTTCGTTCGACCCTTCCTCATTCAGAAAGGAACTGCTAAAGCGGTAAAGTCTATGTTTTGGAACTCAATCAAATGATCCATTTTGAGCTGACTAGAAATTAATCAGCTAACCATTTTCTTCTTGATTGACAGAATAGGTTGATTCTCCTTTTCAAAAGGCTGGTTTTGACAAGCGGAAAGATATTGATTTTACGCGCTCGTACTAATCTCACGCAGGCTTTTCTAATTGGACTTGTCGTCGCACAGCATTTCTTACAGTCAGTTAGCTTTGTTAGTTGGTTGTTCCGCCGGGACCCACTGGCATCGGCATCGGAACTCATATCCTTCAACCATCCCTTATGCCAATCGCCGTTTTCTAATGTTCCCTCCCCATCCAGGAGTCATAGCCTAAGAGACCCCACCACATGTCCATCTTCTGCAATTTTTTCATTACAAGTTTACATATGTTTAAAAATGGGACTTTGAAAAACAGCCACTTTTTTGCAAGAAAAATTCTAAAGTTGTAGCTACTGTTTTCAGCCGTTTCTTCTATGGAATGAATCGGCGCCTGAAGATCCCAGTAACATATTCAAAGCTGCAATAGAAGGCGGCTCCGCAAGAGAATAAATATTTTTTATTGAAACCTTGCAATTTGATTTGCGATTTTCTGAAGTGGTCGAGAAAGGGTTCAACTATTGCTTTCTTATTTGGCAAATGTAGAAGAGAAGGCTTCCGGCGTCTGGCAGTATATCCGTTACTGTAGGCACCCACGAAATCGACTTTGGTTCGGGGCCGTAAGAGGCAACAGATGTTGAACTCAGTGTCTCAAGTTAGTGGAACTTGGTTACTAGTACCCTAAAATTCCATAGATAAGAGCGGTTGGAACTACCGGTGAAAAATGAATTGGAATGAAATTGAAATTGAATGCAGTCACCCTCTTCCCGGGGCGGAGCTTCTTCTTAACTTCTTCTTCGAAGTTTAGTTCATCCATCCATCAAGTTAGAGGGGTGACTGCATTCAATTTCAATTTCATTCCAATTCATTTTCACCGGTAGTTCCAACCGCTCTTATCTATGGAATTTCACCGGTAGTTCCAACCGCTCTCTTATCTATGGAATTTTAGGGTACATATAAGGAAATGGCATTGGCGCGGAGAAGGTGGTAGTAGGAAATTATCTGGGAGGGATCAGAATTGTCCCGTCATCTAAAAAAACGTTTAATGCCGCGCAAGTCAAATATTGATAAGATAACTCTCGCAAACTAACTTTTTATGAAGCAATGGATGCTTGCTAAATGGCGCTCGATTATAATACTACATTTTTTCTACTTATAAAGAAATTAAGTGTGCTTTCAGGGAGATTTTTTGAAGAAATTTGAAAATTACCGAGATGACGTGGATTATTTTTCATTTCAACTCAGTGTTTCTACTCTCACTTTGACCAACAGCTAATCTAGTATGTAACCAAAACTGTTTCCCGAGCTAATGTCATAAAACGCTAATGAGCAGTACCATCGTATAGTTTGTGTGAATAGCGATCATTGGGATGGGCTATGTGTACTCGCCATGGCGCAGTGCAAGTGTTGGCTGTTATCGAGTGGTGAAGGCGAGGGATCGATGGCACAATCGTGGCAGTGAAGCCGTTCATTACGGTGAACACAATCAGATCGTGCAAGAGTAATCGGATACTTACCGGCCGATGGGATCATCATATCCATCGTGTTAAAGATTTCCCAAACATTTTTGTCCATTAATTTATTTCATACCCATGAAGTAAGAATATGTTACATTTTCTTTTTCCTGGGAAAGCCCAGGCCCGAATGCCTTAAACAGGTGAAAGCACGGCTGCAATTGTAGACGGTAAGTAGTAGGAGTTCCTGTTTATTGTTGACGACTGTAAGCGAATCCATTCCTTAGGTCTATAATTGAGTTTTTCTTTTGACTTATTCAACAGTATGAGTTATTTGAGAAGTCAAAAAATCGTCGATGACGGTTGCATCTGTTCATCTATCCATGAGCTTCACTGAACCATATGAAATTTGAATAAATGACATGAACTGTTAGAGATTTGTCCATCTATCATAATAGTGTGAAACTTTCCTATTTTTTATTTATTACATTTTTGAGAATCTAGAGTAAACGAAAGGTTTTGCTATTGATCATTAATATTGGTTTTTATAACTTTATTTTTATGTTAACTACTACTTTCTCGTAGTAGTACGCTATGCAAAATTTCCTAAGGGTGTCGAGTTATGGGCAGATGTTCGTACGAGGGCAAACTTTTACTCACCCTGTGAGATTGATATCTACAATATTAAGATTTCGATAACATTTTTTCAGTGCCCTGTTTTATGGCCTATTTTTTCTCTTTGTTACCTTCCAAAGAGACAAAATATTTCTGTGCTGAGTGAGCCTTCTCCTCTACGAAGTAGTAAAGCGCTGGATTGAAAAAACGGTCCACTTAGTTGTGAAAAGTCAACACTCAGAAATTTGTAGGCCCTTCCAAATTTTCTATGATTACGTATTTAAATAGCTATACAGCTGATCATTTGAGCATTGCGGTTGGCAGGTCTCCATGGGAACGCCCGCTATGACATCGATCGTAAACTCGTTCTGGGGTCATTTTACTCTTTCAATTCTCTCGTCATCGTCGACACGTTTACCAATAGAACAAGCCGAATGTGCATTAACGAACAGATTATTGTCTGATGCTCAGGGCTCAGCTTGAACAACGGCCGTTGCCGTCTGTTTCCGTTCTGGCTAGTCTAGCTGCCTTACAGATATAGCCATTTTTTTATTACTATTTTTATTCTCTCAACTACTAATTTATTGATTTCTTTTCATTTGTTTACTTTGTTTATTTATCCAGTTGTTTGATTATTATTTATTTCTTATTATATTCTTACTGAAAGAATGGGTCTACTGCACTTTCTCGTAACCATGAAAAACCTTTTTCAGAGGTGGTCAAACATTTAATTATGTATTTGTCCGCTGTTTCATATGAAGCATGGCTTATACTCGAATACTTAACTGACTTTGAGAACTTAAATCCTACTGATCATTTCCCTTTTTCAGATAATCATGAGCTTCCATGCAAAGGAGGAAGCAGCCGCATTTATAATCGAAAGGCTTCGTGAAACTGAAGCGTACAAGTTCATTCAAGTAGGTTACAGCCGTCACTTCCAATATAGAGTGCTAGAAAAACGCATTTTCTTCTAAAAGGAATCTTCTCTACAAAAAAAAATCGGAAAATTGTTTGTAAAATTCGATTTTCGTCTATTAATGATGTAATGCGCTAACGAATATGGGGTTATAATAGTCATGCTATGGTTCAAGTTCCAAGTGATTTTCCTCCGTATTGAATGGTCGATAAATTGAAATTAAATTGATTAATGGAGGTGGATTAAAGTTGAGTGCCGCCTAGGTTTAGGTAATTTAATATACAATCAATTGTTTTTACAGCTATCTAAGGAAGTAGCAGGCTCACTTCATGGGATCAGTCGACTCTGATCATCTTACTACTTTCCGAGGGAATTCGGCCTCTATCTATTTATCATTAAATTTTATGGCTTTAATATAAATTTGTTTACTCTTACAATTATTTATATAGACAAAAGGTAACCCATAAACTTTATATCGCCTATAATCTCTGTTATTATCATGCAAAACCTTTAAAGTGAATGAGTTCATATGAATTGCAGAGAAGAGGAAGTAGATCAATCATAATAAGAAATTATTTTCATACTCAAACATAGTGAGTTCAATATACATTCGCTAGCCAAATTATTTATTTATATGTTCGTTAATTTTCTTTTACAATTTTATTTTGCTAATTTTGTAGAGCCTTGTCCGAGAATCTGTGGAACGTATTATCAATCCAGGAGCCCATACCCGAGTGAAGAAGCTCAGTGACCAAGGTTTATCGATTTCTCCTTGTTGGTTTGATATTCTGGATTAATTTGACTTGATCCTGACTTTTTTTTTACTCTCTAGCCCATCCCTTAATAAGATAATATGTATGTTGCGCTATCAGCGCCATTCAGTGAAGATCGATTCCATTTATCCATTTTAACGTAACTGAATACAGGAGTTACAGATTACCCTCTCCACCCATTAAGAATTTCTCTGCTGCTTATTTGGGAGAAAGAAGGCAGTGAATTGTACATCGACTGGCCATCGCAAGACATTGATGCACACTCAATGCGTTACTAGGATTCTGATTTAAAGTCGAATGCTAGGGCGCATCCCCAGAAAAATGGAATCGATTGACACCAAAGGACTTACTGCTCTTTCCTTTTACCTTATAAAAGTGATCGTTATAGCTCTCATTACTCACTCCATGATTTATCACTATCTGGTTCACTGTGGTTACCGAGCAGCCGCTGAAATGATGCAGGCGGAATGCTATGAAGTCGGTAAAGTCTTCACTGAAATCCTTGCACTCTTTACTATGCCAACCCATTGAACTAGGCTTTTTNTTTTTAAGAAGTTCCTGTCATATGGATTTCTCAAAGAAAACGTGGACTCGTACGAAGACGAAGCTGTTGGGAAATGTTTGGAAAAGTTCAAATTGAAACATGGAGCAGTTTTGAAAAGACCAACAGTGCCTACAAAGGAGATCACCACTCAGCCGATTTTTACTGCAAAACCTGAGCCTGAGTACGAAGACGTCAAAAAGAGCTTACGCGATAGAATTCAAGTTATGGCAGACGAGTCCGTGAAGAAGAAGGAGGAATTAATGCAGGTGAAATTCAGGCTTGTATCAAACAACGTGAGACAGGCAGAGTACAGAGAAGCAGCGTTTGAGACACACAGACACACATAGACACAGGGGGAAGTGCTGCACGCTGATCTCTGCTCTGCTTTTCTCTACGAGCTCTTCAATTTGGTGTAATTTAGCCCTCCAATCTTGACTCTGGATTGATTTCACCCAGTAACTTTGCTGAATCGTCAAGAAAAATAATCAAAATTGAATTATCGAGTTACTGGTTATTAGTCCGAATTCGTAGGCTGATGCAGATTCCGACTCGGGGGAAGTACATTGACGAAATTCACAATCACTTCTAGACATTCTTGAAATTTCGAAGAAGTCTTTTTCTGTTTTTCCAGAGAGAGGAAACCGTTAGTGATGAGGAAATTGATGAAGAGCAAGAGGGTGAATCGTCAGGAAGTGAGGAGAAATCATCACACTCATCTACAAGTACGCCAGAGTCCGAAGGGTACATTTCATTGTTACTTTTTTTATTAAGATTGCGAAATGTTCCAGTAAATAGTAGCGAAATAAAAGTAATAAAGTAACAAAATAATAATAGCAAACAAAATAAAGGTTTCTAACTGTCGACGGCCTTTGTTCTCGGAAAGAATTTTGTCTCGAATAGCATTAAGAGAACTCTGGTAAAAGGGCTCAATGAGATTTAGGGATTCCCTGAGGTCGGTTCCCGTATGATAACAGGGAAGACGGAAGTGGTGCAGTAGGGACGAAATTGTCGCGACGCCGCGCGCGAAGGAATGTAGCAAAATGCAGCAGCAAGTAAGGAATTCAGAAACAAAAGAAATAACAATAGAATCATGCCATTAGTATTAATCGCATAGCGATTGAGCTGTATGAAGAACGCTAGAACTGTTATAACGAGGCAAATGATCCGCGACAGCCGCGTGCGGCGGATCGATTACACAGAACCGTTCCTACTGCCCGTCTCCCCAGGGGAGACCACTAGCCAGCGACGCCGCTGATTCTC